ATAGGGTCTTGGGTCAGCATGTCCACCAGGATGGGGAACCAGAACTGCCTGGGCCACCTGGGGGCTATGAGGATGATCGAGGACCTGAAAGTTCTCGCTCTGGTCAATACCCTGGAAACTAGTGGAAATGGGGGAAAAGCATAGAGAATGCCCTTTGGCCACACGGTCATCAGGGCGTCCCCCAGGGAATATTCCCCCAGCCCCAGCAGGGAACAGTAGTTCCTTCACTTCGCATTGCGTGCCGAGGCAAACAGGTTTAGGCGGGGATAGCCCCACCTGCGGAAAACCTGGCTGAGGACAGAGTCCTTGAGTGACCACTCGTGGGCTCCAAAGGATCTGCTCAGTGTGTCTGCAAGTAGGTTCTTGCACCCGGGGAGGTACTCTGAGGCGTGATATCGTGCATGACACACAGATGCCATAGACGCAGGGCCTCCTTGCATAGGGGTGGCGAACGTGCCCCACCCTGCTTGTTGAGGTAGAAAACCGCGGCAGTGTTGTCCATACGTACCAGTATGGAGCGGTGGGAGAGCCGCGCTCCTCGCCGCCCGCAGTTCCCGGACGTTGATGTGCAGCGACCGTTCGGAAGGGGACCAGAAGCCCTGAGTTCTGTGGCACCCGAGGTGTGCACCCCATCCCAGGTCGGACGCATCGGTGACCAACGTCAGCGAGGGGGGAGGGGCGTTGAAGGGAACCCCGCTGCGCACCACAGATTCCTGGGTCCACCAGAGTAGGGAGTCCAGAATGTCCGGGGGCACTGATACTATGGAGTCCCATAGACCCTTGGACTGGCAGAAGGCCTTCACCAACCACGCCTGCAGAGGTCTCATCCTCATCCTGGCATGTCGCACCGTGTAAGTGCATGCCGCCATATGTCCCAGGAGCTTGGAGCAGACCCAAGAAGTGGTAATGGGGGAAATTAGTTCTGAAATCAGCTCCACTATGGAGAGGAACCTGCTGTGGGGCAGGAACGCTCTTGCCACCGTCGCATCGAGGAGGGCTCCCAGAAACTCTATGCTCTGGGAGGGGGTCAGGGATGACTTCTCGACATTTATCATGAGCCCTAACCTTAGCAAGAGAGCTCTTATGAGTGATACGTGAGCTTCCACCTGCTCGTACAAGCGACCTCGGATTAACCAGTCATCGAGGTACGGGAACACGTGTACCCCTCGATTGTGCAGAAAAGCGGCAACCACAGCCATACATTTTGTGAATACCCTTGGTGCAGTACATAACCCAAAGGGGAGTACCGTGAACTGAAAATGATAACGGCCCACCATAAACCGGAGGAACCTCCTGTGGCCGGGCCTGACAGCCACATGGAAGTAGGCATCGTTTAGATCGAGAGTCGCGTACCAGTCGCCCATTTGTAGCACTGGGATGACCGAGGCTAAAGTCACCATTCTGAACTTGTGTTTTACCACCGCCTTGTTTAAGTATCGAAGGTCCAGGATAGGACGAACCCCCCCTTTTGGTTTTGGGACGACAAAATAACCGGAGTAGAACCCCTTGCCCCGCAGATGCTGGGGAACCCTTTCTATTGCTCCTTTTTCGAGGAGTGCCCCCACTTCCTGAAATAGGATGCGTTTGTAAGGGGTGTCCCTTATTAGGGACAGGGTAGGGGGTTTTGAAGGCGGTGGGCCCAGGAACGGGATAGAATAGCCCGAATGTACAATGTTCAGGACCCAGGCATCTGATGTTATTTGGGCCCATGCCTGGGCAAAACAGGAAAGCCGGGCCCCAAACGGATTAACAGGGGAGCGGTTGTGACCAACTGCGGAGCCGGTTGGACGTTCTGAGCTTCCGGAGGGCCTGTCTCCGGTACCGGTGGCTGCGGTGCCGCAGGATCCTGTTGCGGCACTCGAAGGGAGGAGGTGGGCGCCCTAGACAGGGATGCAGAGGGGCAGGAATGGTGCCCTGAAGCCTCCGACCCCCTAGATGGTGGTGGCTGTTTCTGCCACTGATGATAGGCCCAGAGGGTCCAAAAGGGCCACTGCGGACGAGGGGGCCACATCTGCTGTTTGTGGTCCCTCCGGTGCCTGGATCTGGACCTGTGGGTTGAGGAAGCTCCCGAAGACCCTGACCGCACCGACACCACGTCCGAATTTGAAGAGCAATCGGATTCAGGCCAAGGGGGAGCCAACGAGGAGTGAGGTGCAAATTTGGCCATCGACTCCGGCTTGCCCGCGTGGGCGCGGCGACGACATGCCATCTGAGGTACCGGGGGACTCATGTCTGGTGCCGTAAGGGCCGCTGATGACTGTGGCACGGGGGACCGAGACCCGGTGCGGCGAACTCCGCTGAAGCAGACAACTGTGGCACTGGGGTGCTCAAGCCCAGTGCTGTTTGCGTCGTCATTTGCGGCACCAAGGTGCTCAGGCTCGGTGTCGGTTGCGATGCCTGGAGTTGCGGCACCGGGGTGCCTAGGACTAGTGCCAAATGCACCGCATGCAGCTGCGGCACCGGGGTGCCCAGGCCCGGTGCCGGTTGCACCGACTGAAGCTGCGGCACCGGGGTGCCGATTGTGTGGCCAGCAGGTATGGCACCGAGGTGCTCAGGCTCGATGCCGACTGAGTCATGCCCGACTGGAACGGTACCAGGGTGCCCAAGCCCGGTACCAGGGTAGACCACTGGGTCGATGCTGGTGCCAATGACAGCACAGAGACGGACGCCGACTCCTGGGAGGCCACATGGCCATGGGGGTATGGCACCGGTACGGCCAAGCGGGGCTCTGACAACTTGGAGAGCAATGACCTGCCATGGCTCAAAGCTCCCTGAGAATGACGATTCGGCGTCGTGAAGGGTGCCGTAGTAGTAGCAGGAGCCTACCCCACCGGGGTTGGTCCCGACGCATAAGCCACTGTAGCATGCCGACCCTGGCCATGCATGGGCGATGGCGGTGCCCTCCGAGCTTGCAACGGTGGGGAGGTCATAAGGCTTATTGGGTCCTGCGCCGCTTTAACCGTGTCCAGCGTAGACGGGCGATGAGAGGGCAGGCGACCAGGGCTCACTAGACCCCCTCAGTGCCGACGGTTCCCCGGAGGGGAAACACGTACCAGTGAACTGCCGGTGCGGTTTACAGCCGACATCAGCTTCTTAGACGGAGACCTGCCCTGGGACTTCTTCACCCTCTTAGATGGTGGAGAGTGAGACCGGTGCTGGGATCATGACGTCGATGCCCAGTGCCTGTGTGCGGCCTCGCGCGTGGAGGCCGGTGCGCTGTGCACTGCAGGCTGATCCAGCGGTGCCCGTTGAAGCGCCGTCTCCATGAGGAGAAGCTTCAAGCGGGAAACTCTTTCTTTCCTCGTACGAGGCTTGAAAGACTTGCAGATTTTGCAGGCAATTGCCAAATGAGCCTCACCCAGACACTTAGGGGGAAGAGGAACTAAAAACAAAAAACCTAGCTATCTAACTACACAACTATTTACAATGTGAGAAACAGGAACCATTAACCATCTAAGCCTAACAGCTATAGAGAAGAAGGAACTGAGGTGGGGCAGCGCCGGCAGGGGTACTTATGCCCCGCCATGGCAGCGCCACTCCAGGGGACGCCCCGCCGGCGCTACGGATACCGCTAGGGAAAACGCTCCAGAAGACGTGGTGCACGCAGCGCGCACACCTACTTCGAATGGACATGAGCAACCACTCGAAGAACCCTGTCAATCACCACTCAGTAAATCCACAACCTCCATACCTGAATGCCGCCCCACTGCACCTCAACCCCTACATTCAGAGCTCCTGCCTCCATTTCTGCACCCAGACCACCCCCAACTAAGCTTTCTGTGCTTAAACGTCACACCAGCCCCATACCCTGTATCCACCCCGAATCCCCAAGCCATTGACCCAACTAGCTGAACCCAGGCCCCTCCTCCCCACTGCAGCCCCTCACAAGCAGACCCCTCTGCTGAGCTCAAACCACCATCACCTAGAAGCCCCTGCACCCACAATAAGCCTCCCTCCACATCTAGATCCACTCCATTGAGCTGCCTGCACCCACCACACAGAATCCTCTAACCACACACCTGGATCCCCCCCCACTCTTGGATCCTGCCAGGCTGAACCTGCCTGCCATACACCTGGCATGCCTGGTGCATAGGAGCAAGCCCAGGCCTTGTGCTGTGTCAGGGTCGGATGCAGTCTTATTGCTGAGTGTCCCCCGTGGGGTGGGACCTGGAAAGGCTGAAGGGCTATCTCCCATCTTCGTGCAGCCAGTGACCTGTGCTGTCCACTGCCATGCTGGAGCCTTTCCATTTATTCATCAACAAATATTTATAGAATTTTTTAAAAACTGTGCAGGATTTGTGAGCGCACAGAATCGATGATGGATTGGCGCAAGATGCGCTCAGGAAAAGGACTACAGCTAAACTTAATTCCTTCTTTGAGCAGATATGCCTCAACACTGAAGGCATCACTGAGCCTGTCCGCATCCAATGCCCAAGTAGTAAACTACACTTGGGTCACACTATTCCTTAGTATGTTTTTCATATCACCTCCCACCACACACACACACACACACACACACTTACTCTCCTGGAATGGTGCCTCCTCCTCCTCCTGCTCTTCTTCCTCACTGCCCACATCGTCCATAAGCATCTCTCGTTGCTTGGAAGCTGCTTTGGATGCTGCCTGCCGTTGCTGGCGCACGTTTTTGTGGTCTTCTTTCTCATCCTCACTGTCCTCTGAAATGTAAAATTCACCATGTTGCAACAAAGACTTATGACATACCATGTATTCCTGGCTTGCAATGGGGGATAACAGCAAATTAAAGGCCAAATCATTCCTGATAAAGCAGTACAACTGAGAAGCTTAATGGATAACTCAAAGCTGGTTAGGTGAGTGTGGTCAAGTACTCCCCATATTAAGTGCATCTTTTGATAGGGCTTAAACGCAAGATCCTAACCACTAACTATGAACCTAAGAACTAGGACACTTTTTCATAACAGAAACACTGCCCCAGGAACCTGCACCCACCCACTCCTAATACAGAACAGAGCGCTGCTGAGTGACATGTTCCTGAGATCCTTTGCAACGAAAGGTGCTCTATAAAATGTCAGATAGAAACGTAAAAACAAATGTTAACAGCAAATGCTGTTGTATAGATTTCTTTGTACAATATGACCATTATGGTTCTCAAAATAATCAATGACCACTGACTCAAATTGTTCCACATAAGTGTGGCGCTCATAAGATATTTCTCGGATCTAGAACAGAATCTACTGGGAAATACTGTAGTAAGTTATTTTTAACGCTACTTGTTTCCCTCCAGCTGACACATTTAGGCTGTGGAAAAAAACAAGTCTTCACTCTAAGTTTGTAAGCAAAAAGTCAGAGGCAGTTTATTCGAGCAATTGCAAGGGAAGACTGCAGTTGGACAGGGGTCCCTCCTTCCTTAGGCAGATCGTCAAAGAACAAGCAGTAAAGTATATATATCTTCCCGTTACATACATCAACGGCTAACGGTTATCTGTTTGTTTATACAAACTCCTTCCAGATCCTGCCTAAGTCAGCATTCCATTCTTATCTCCTAAGAGATGGAAGCAGCATCTCTCCTGTGGTTAGGGCTAGGGCTAGCTTGAAACAAACCTGAGATGGCTATGCACAAATCCCCTTTTTCCTTTTCCCTGCTTCTACAAAGCTATAATAAAAATGTGGAAAAACAGAAGAATTGCAACACTAGTGGGGGGTGGGGGGAAATCAGGTCAGGGAACAGCTTCACGCAACAATCCTTGAGCTTCCCCCCTCCTCCCATGTAAGATGCACTTTCACAAAGCTTAGACATGAAAAACTGGGGGCATAGGACAGCAGGGGTTTACATACTTCTCATCTAGAAGTGGTATGCAGGGAAGAAAGCATACATAACTTGCAAGAGAGATGGAGCAGCAAAGAATGTATTTAGTTTCTAACTTCTGATTTTGCTTTCTGGATCTTTGGCAGTCAGTCACATTTAGGCCAAGTTGACACGAATTTCAAGGCAACATAATCAAAACAGTTGTTGAACAGTGAGAAAGATCTTTGTTTTTGTCCTCTTTACCTGCAGCCCTTTTCCTGGATTTGGAGGCTCTCTTGTTCTTATCAGGTTTGGCTTTTTTTCCTTTTTTGCTTTTTTGAGAGCTCTCATAGTCACTGTCAGCTTTGCCATCGTCTGCTCCTAAGTCATCATCCTCGCTGCCGAAATCTTCATCTAGGACAAAATGGTGACAAAATGAAGTCTCAAATTACCTCTGAAAAGGAATCATAAGATGCAGTGGACTAATACTCTTGGTCTCCCTGGCTGAAATTATATTATCCTTCTCACTATCTATGCACCAGAAAAGAAGAAAACCTGATAAGTCCAGGACTAGAAAGAGCAGGAAAATCAAAGCTAGCACCCATATTAAGGTGCAATGGCAGAGCTATGTATTATGAACATTACAATGAAGACATTAAAAGTAAAGGACTAGTGATGCTGACAGAAATAATGTTCCTAATACAAGGATAGTATTCCTAGAACAAGCCTACTTGGCTATGTTAGCAGCTGGGTTTACTACCTGGTGAGTGTGAATCGTCTTTCTTCGTCTTCACATCTTTTTCTTCTGAGTCCTCGCTGCAAAGAAGAGGAGGAGAGTGTTACCACTATTTTAGAGGTTGGATCTGCAGAACTGAGTTAGCCTGTGGTAGGTAGGTGAACCGGTACTTTTTTTTTTTAATTATTTTTAAAAGGCTGACACCTGATGCTTCAGAATCTAAGCTCTCATTTAGAAAAAAAACATCTAGTCATTATGGCTGTAAAAATAACCACCTTCAAATTGTGAACCAAGTGTAAAATGGCCGAAACAGCTCTGAGAAATGAGCTGCACAGTTCAGCTCAATTAATCGTTAACTCTGAAATCTAAAGCTACTACTACTGTAATTAGCTAGAAGCAACAGCAGCATGGAGTGAAGTGATTTTCCTTCCTGTGACTTGCTTGTCTCTGTAAGGCAACAGTGGACAGTCTGAAGCCCATTGGGGTACTGTGTGTGGCCTGTGAGACATTTTGTTTACGTTGCCCACATGCAGCGTTGCTAGATTCCACTGGTTTTCATCCTTACTTTAGTAATACTGATTTGAAAAAAACTAACAGGCACATAAAGCAAGCTACGTGCACATTGTAAGAGCCATGTGTTCCCCCTGCATCCAAAGTGCTGTTATGATTCAATCAGCACAGCTTGCAAATTCTAGGTACACAAGCACTATTAGCAAAACTACCCTATCCCAGGAGACCATCTTGGTTATGACAATCTTGCGGCCCACTGTGATGGAGACCCACTCATGTAGTACACTCACTTATCTAGGTCGCCAGTTACTGGTGTAAAGCTAAGACAGCCATCCCAGCCTAGAAGTAAAGAGTTATAGACTGATGAAAACACAAGTTAATGCCAGCCATGGTGAAAAATACACTCCAGACTATAGAAGGGCCTTGTTGCCAATGGAAAGAGGGGATAAAAAATTGCAATGGAAAGAGGGGAAAAAAAATTGCAGAACTAACTCCAGATAAGAAATCTGAAGCATGTTTTGATTTGAATAAGCTAGTTTGTTTACAAGTTCAAATCTTGTAGGAATAATGATTAATTTTATTTGCCACTCACTGACAAGGAACACAACTAATGGCTCTTATAATCATTTAGGTACTTTCAGATCTGCTTCTCTCAAATCATATCATCTGAAAGTGGCTGTAAATATCTAGATCCAGGGAACATCTGGGAGTAATTCCTAGAAAGCAATCTTGGCCTCCAATATTTCTGAGTTACTGGAACATGTAAGTAGCACACACACAGCAGCATAACTATACTGCATCCCCCAAGCAAAGCATAAAATGAAAACCACCCAAACCAAGACTGCATGTGGACACACACCACTATCCACTAAATTCCTACAACTGATGGCAGCTTTCCTTCTCACGGCCACAAAATGTAAAAGGACCCCACTGAAAACACGACCTGCATCCTACCTAAGACAAAAAAGACAATAGGCCTAGGTTACACATTTAAAGCTAGATCAATTGAGCTACATGGCTCAGGCTGTGAAAAATGTTTGCACCTTCCTTGTGCAGCTTAACTTAACCTCACAGGGACTGGAGATGTAACTAGGTAAATATAAGAATGTCTCCATTTATCTAGCTACCACTTCTAGGAGAGTGGAATTTGAAAAAACCTTTTGTTGACATAGGAAGCACCTACACTACATCACTGCAGCTGCACCACTACAGCAGAGACATGGCACGAATCTCTACAATAAACCCAAGGCAGTCTTCACCAAGAAGCATCTGATAAACCTGTGATTTCCAAGACGAATCTTCAGTTTGAAAATAGTCAATGGACATTTAAAAAAATATCATAACCAGTCATGGTAAGCCAACTGATGTCTTTGTGATGGCTCCTTTGGGTTTATGGCAGATGTGAAGAAAATTTTTTGTCCTGTCTTGACAGGTGCAGGCAATTGTTCGATAGATCTTCACTTAAAGAGGTGTCTCCCTTTACATTTGTGAGCAACATCAGTAATCAAAGTAAGGCATTTTGTTTTAGAAATGGACTGAATGTCAGACAAACTATGAAAGTGGAGAATTAGTAAGTCATGCCTACTGCTAATGCTTCTTGTCCTGCTAAGAATAATTTAAGGGCTTTTTCCATCAGATCCAACAACTAATGTAAAGCACTATAAAACTATGGAGACACTGAAATATATCACGCTGATAATCCACCTGCTTTTGTGCTGTGCCAAATTTCTTAGGTCATACTATCCTACTTGCTCCTGTTCTAGTTGCCTAGCTCCAGAAAGTGATTTTAATGCTGAAGCACTAGTGACATGTGTCTTATGCCTGGCTTCACTACCTGTTTGAATGAGGAAAAAGCATCGCAGTATCCAATCTCATTATGCAGGCTTGGTCAGCAACAGTCCTGTCATTTTAGAAAGCTTACAGAGACTATGCATCCTACCCGCAATTATGTGTGTAATGACCTGGCTCCTTCAATGCTTTTAAATGTTTCAACTCAGCACAGATTCAGTACCTAGAGTGCTCTCCACAGACCCTAGATTTCTGTGAACTCCACAGACCCTAGATATCTAAAGCGAACTATTTGCCATAACTAGAGTTCGGTGGATGACTCTTTTGCTCTGAAGTAGATGAGCTTCTCCAATGCTCATTTGGTTAGCTCCATCTATTGGCCCAAGAGATGTAAGAACTCTATGCCTACAATAAGATATGCTGTTATACAACATGGAGTCTGCCAGCATGTAGCAAAGATACGACATGTTTTTCTTGTGGGACATGTCTGCCCTTTTTACTTTCAGCAAGGAGACTACAGTATCTATCAAGCCTTCAGGATTTAGAAGTAAAAGTCCCCAAATCCACATTAATACCATTCCTTAGAGAGCAGACTACATTCAGTCAGTCACGTGAAAGGGCCAATTTACATACAACACAGTGACAAATTATACGTGAAGGGTAGAAAAATGTCAAATAAGAGGAGGGGGGAGCAAAAGTACTACACTTATAGATCAAGCCACATAAATAAAATCTGTAAGACTGGCAGCTGAAGACATGGCTCCTATCTAGTCTAGGGATGTACATTGTGGTTAATTGACTACTTGATTAGTGGATAAGGGGGGGAACCACAGAGCCACAGCAGGGTTAGCTCCCAAACTTGGGAGCTAAATCTGCTTCGGCTCAGCCTTTTAAAGGTATTTAAAAAGAGGTTTAAAAAGTAGGGCTGTCAAGCAATTAAAAAAGTGAATTACGATTAGTCTTGTAGTAAAACAATAAGAGGACTCCAGTGACCCCAGGGTCCGCGTTGCGCTGCCCCTCTGAAACACTGCCACTGCATTTCAAAGGGACAGCGCAACGGCTCAGTGCAGCATTGCACCTTTGAAATGCCCTGGCAGCGTTTCAAAGGGGGCAGTGCCACAGAAACATCTGTGATTAACATGTTAAAAAAAATTAACGTGTTAATTGTGCTCTGCATTAACATGCATCAATTGACAGCCCTATTAAAAAGCAAAGGCACAGCATCTGGGACCAGGCACGAACCAGGAATCAGCTCATTCCCCGCTCCCATCAGGTTCCCTGCTGCACCTCTGCCTCTTTTGTGCTCCCCACCCCCGCTGGAGACCGTGCTGGGGAGGGCGGGGGGGAGAAGGAGGAAGGAGAGAGGGACGACTGGCTTTTAAGCCAGCTCCCCCCAGCACTGGCCCCTGCTCTGGCCTCTTGCTGTGCGGGGGGAACTAATCAAGTCATATGCTTATCGGGTAGTCAACTAGTCACTTACATCCATAATCTAGACACTCAAATGCAAAAGTTTAGAAGTCTTGACCCCCATATAAGAGACCAGAGAAAACAGAATGAGGCCACATGTATGGTTAACAAGTACTGGAAGGTTTGTAATCCTTCTACTAGGATACTATTTAACTGGAGTTGCCTATATACCCTAAGCTTAAAATAAATGAGCTTTAGATGTAAGGTTAGGGGACTGTTCCAGGACTAGCATTTCTTCACTCTTACCAGAACCACTTCAAACGCCTCACCATACCAGCTAGTGTTGAAGGCTTCAGTGAAATAAAGTATACAAGACTTACAATCATTGTGAATTACATGGTACATCTAGTGTTGGGCTACCAGAAGTAACAGAAACAACTTCTTACCTGTCCTCCTGAGAATTCTTCCCAGGCCGCCTCTTATTTTTAGCCTCTCGGGGAGATGAACGCATTTTTTTAGCTGGAGGGGCCGAATCTCTTCCATAATCTTCATCTGGACAGTACAGTGGAGGAAATGGTTTTGAAAAGAAGTAAACTATTTGCTGTAACTTCCAACAATCTAAATAGCCAAGAGTACTACTTCTTCAAGTAGGCCATAAAGTTACCAATTCACACCATTTTAAAAGAGAACAGATCAGCACCCTGTCAAAAACCCAAATCTTCGAAACTTCAATCCAACTTCACTGAAGCATTATATTCAACCTGTATATCTGCGAAATGCATAATAAGCTACACAAATTTAAGATGCAGAAATCATAGTAAATACAATTAATCAGAATTTTATGAAGAATCAGAGCCATACCGTTTTATATTCAGAATTATATATAAATCCATTAAAATTTGCACCTATTTCTTATATTAGGTGTTCTTTTATTCCAAAAAATCCTCCCACTCTGTAGATAGTTAAGAACCCTGTGTTCTTGTGATGACAAAATTAAGTGTAAGGTCTTTCACAAAATCATTTTAAGTACCAATTTATGCACAACATTTAAAGAATACTATCAATAGTACTGCAGTTAAGAACTGGACAAACTTTAATAACACAGTTTCTACTAAGCATCAATATAACTAGGCATGCTAGCGTATAGTAATTTAAACGATCAATCGATAAGTCTAGGCTTATCAGTTAATCCAAATGACTACACACAATGCCCTCCTCCCCTCCACTGTATCAGAGGCAGCAGTGCGGGGGGGAAGGAGGAGGGAAGAGAAGGACGCTCCACCCAGGAGCTTATACATGCTCTCAGCATGTGCTGGTTCCCACAGAGCTCCCTGCCCCGCTCTGCTGCCTCCCACAGAAGAAGCATTATGGAGGGCAGGTAGGAGCCAACTTGTGGGGGAGAGCCAGCTTAGAAGCCAGCTCCCCACAAGTGCCAGATCCCAGTGCCTCACCTGCTCCTCCCTCACGCTGGTGCTTGCCTCTGATAGAAAGGCAGCAGCACAAAGTATGAGGACAGGCAGGAGCCAGTACATGCAGGAAGCCAGCTTGCTATGCCTATTGGCTCACATAGAGCTGCCTCCCTCACCCTTAGCTGCACTGAAGCCTCTCTATCTGTGGGTACGTCTACACTACAGCGCTAATTCGAACTAAGCTAATTCAAACTAACGCGTCTAGAACTAAAAACTAGTTCAAATTAGCGTTTTGCTAATTCGAACTAGCATGTCCACATTAAGTGGACCCTGAACCGGGCTTAAGGATGGCCGAAAGCAGTGCCGGCAGGGCATCACAGGAGGACTTAGAGCGTGGAGATGCTGTCTCAGGCTAGCCGAGGGCTGCACTTAAAGGGACCCGACCCCCACCCCGGACAGACAGTTCTCAGGGGTGCCC